ATTTTAGCCATCTGATACTTTTGTAATTTAAATTAGTTTTAAAGAGCTTCAAACTAGTTTTAACAAAAGATTTTGATAAATGCTATAGATCAGTGTTTCCCAAACTGATGACTTTCGTGTACCCTTTCTAAATTTTTCTTAGCGCTGTATACCACTAATAAAAAAATGAATGTATTTTTTACTATAAAAAATTGCCTAAAAGTTGAGAATCAAGACTGGCTGTTGACACCACTAATTATTAATTGTTAACTCTGCGAAAAATAGCTAATAGAAAAATACGTAATCGTAAATTTTCAAGGATACATTTGCTTCAAAATCAAAGTTTTTGAAATTTCCGTTTGTTACACGATATTTCACATAAGAACGCGTACCCCCTCTAAACTGGCCCGTACCCCTAGGGGTACGCATGCAGCACTTTGGGAAACACTGCTATAGACGAAGCTTTAACTTTTCAATATTTAATTTTAACCATTTAACCGTTTTAGTAATTCCCTTAAGACATTAGAATTAGAATATGGATAAATTTAATAATGTAATATAAGTGTTGAATATGATATTTATTTTTTAGAATATTTTGATAATAAATATGTAGGGAATAATATAATAATACACATAAGATAAAGAGTAATTTTCCATAAGAAGTCAAATTATTTTCTTTAAAATTAAAGTGTGAACAAATATAGCTCCTTTTACATTTCTTTTACGCGAACTTAAAATTTACAAGATTGTTTAGAACACTCAAGAAATTTAACAAAAAAGAAAGAAAGAAGCATTTATTTTTTTAAAGTTTCCAACTTGTAATCGTTTACTTCAAAATTCGGCACACAATTCAAGGAGTAATGCATTTTTTTTAACTATTGGCGCAATTACCGTTAAGTAACAATAAAAACTAATCAACTTTCAATTTACAATATATGGCGCTATATCACTTTGTCGTGCCACAAGCAAGCAATTTTTGTTAAAATAATTATTTAAGGGGAAAAAATGTGAAATGCTATATCGGTATGAATATTGTTATGTTTTTAAGGAAGTGTGTTTCAAATACTGCAAGATAAAAAAACTCATAGGCCTTACTCATTGGTTCGTAAAATGTGCGAGTTAGTAAAGTTAGTGCGAGTGCTGAATTTTCTACAACTTTTCTTTCGATAAAGTTATGACATCTTCACGAAAACTTTACGTCATTCAATTAAAATATCAAAGAAGAAAGAGTTCTTCTAACCTCTGCCTGTTGAAACTAGAAATTTATGCATACATCTAAGAATTTATTTCAGCCATTCAGCTAGATGTTCCGTCTAATGGACTAGGTGTTTGTGAATTATTCTAAAGAATGCAAATGAATAAAATAATGACTTTTCTAGTTCATTTCTACTTTTTTTAACATTCTGAACTCTCTTTGTTGATCTTCTAACTTTATACGCAGTTCATTGCATTTTTACATTTTACATCATTTTTAATCTTTATTTTAGCTTACTCATCAAATTTACTACTTAAGTATTGGGTCTGATTCATGAGATATCTATTCTTTCGGTAACTTATTGTTGCTGCCCAAATGACTCCAAAATCCTTTTCTCTTTTTTTCGCTTTATTATGAAAATTGTCACTGATTATGTTGCTTTTCTATCTTACGGTAAATGATGTTTTCATTTTGAATTTGTGTTTCGATATCCTATTCGTTGTTTTACACAAAGCGAACTTTATTTTTCTTTTCAAAATAGTTAAACTTGAGAATATGCTCAATATTCTCATTCACGATAGAATATTACTAGATAAATTTCTATTTTTACGACCATTGATTTAGATACTAAAGGTTGAACTAGAACAAAATAAAATGAAGGCATTCAAATAAATTATTCAATTATAGGAACTAAAGTTAACTCTTCAAATATGAAATTTAAGAACGTTGCATATTTTAAAATAAATGTTCCTCTCACTTGCTTAAAAAGTTATTTTAGGTATTGAAAAATGATGTTTCAGATTTCAATTCTATTCAACCCTTACTAACTTTAATAACTCTCACATATGACGTACCAATGAGTCCGTTCTATGTGTATTTTATCTTGCAGTATTGAAAACACAATTTCTTTAAAAATAACAATATTCATACCGACGTAGACAGTTTTTCAAATTATTATCCATAAACATTTACTTTAACGAAAATTGTTTGCTTGGGGCATGACAAAAGTGATATAGCAACAAATATTGTAAATTGAAAGTTAATTAGTTTCTTTTGATATGCATTTTATGAGTTTCATATTTATAAATTTATTTATTTAATTTGTAAATTTTACAAGAGAATAGTTTTAAATGTAAGAAAAGGATTTTTTGTTCTCATAAATTCAACATTGTTTTACTTTGTAATAAAATTATTTCTCAACTTAAAAATAAATGCATAGCAGTTTCTTTTTTAAAATTGTTATAAATAATTAGTTAATTCGACAACATTAAATAATATTGTCTAATTAATAATTAAAATAACTCAAATAATGAACACAATAGTAAAATCATTATTTAAGGTAAAAAAGCTTTATTACTTAATATCTTTGAAAACAATCTTTCTCATTTATCTGTTTTTATTCAGAAAAACTTCCCCTAACTATTTTCTTTCCTCTTTGATTATGCTGAATAAAAAATCAGTTTTTTTCTTAATTTGTGCGCTTTTTTCCTGTATTTTCCCTTCAAAATAAAATGCTTGGACTGAAAATGTAGAAATTAATTTTGAATATTTTTCTTAATGTATTGTTTGATATAAAACGGATCGCTTAAAAATATTTTTCAAAATGTCTAACAAAGCTACTTGTCTTGATTTTACAAAATATTTCATGGCATGAAGAAAATTAAATCATATTCTACGGAAATGTTTTTTAAACGAGATAAATTTAATGATTTTGAAATGTTGAAGCATAAGTATCTTAACCCAAACTTTTATTTTTAATTTTAATTATTGAGATTAATTGTACCAGAAGTTAAAAAAGAAAAATTGGTTACAAAAACGTTATTAATGAATAGATTTTAATATTGATAAAATTTCAACCACTGATTTCATAAAAGTCAAAAAATTACTTTGTCTAAAACATCATTTCAGAGAAAATAAAAACAGAGTAGAAATCGAGTCCTTTGATCATTATTTCGTAAGATCAGTATAAATATTAATTATTTTTTTCATAAATTTATTTGACCTTTCAAATATTTCGTCACGAGAGCTACTCAACAATTCTTACTTTTCATATTTGTAACATATTGGCTGAATAACTTTTCTTTGTATGGGTTGAATAAATAAAAAAAATAATCAATAAAACAGAACTGAACAACACTAAGAAATCATGTACAAAACTGAAATATATATGCCGATACAAATAATAACGTTTAAATATATTTCCTTATTTATTATCATTTGTAACTCTTCCCCGCAACATTACCTTATTTATCACACTTATTGTAGTCCATCCCATCTGAATTGCTTGTATCCACCATCACCATTGCATCACCACCTGTATTCAGTATCACATGACATGATGCTATTTCTAAAAGTCAACTCATCATAGTCAAAATTTACCAATTTCAAGTAATTTTCTCCAGCACAAATTCTTTTCTAGAGGCTGTAAAACACTAATTTCTCTGTATCGGCATTAAAACCATTCAAAATTGGTGCTGTTTTAATAACCATTGATTAAAGCAATCTAGTTCTTGGTGATACTTAATCCTTCAGCATTTGACTTTTTAACGAAATACATTTATCAGTAGCAGTAAACTAAAGCAAAAATTATGAAAGCAAATAGATTTTTTATGAAAACAATGGGACAAATGGATTTTTTATGAGGATTTTAGAGCATGACCATTTCTCTATCCAACATTTAATAGACTGTTTAAAATGTTTATAAGTGGTAAAAGTATTGTAAGTATTTAAAAGTAGGAAAAATTTATTTAATTCTAATTCATTAAATTATTACATTAGCTTAGTTACCACTGAAAAAAATATTTTATGAAACGACAGAAAATTCATTTTATTATTCATACTAAACCTGCACCAATTACCATTATAGCAGTAATACATATTACAAAAATTAATTAAGAGTTATTTGCGAATGGTGATTTTCCACTGTTTTCAGAAATGAATAAGTGGATTTTCTCCATTAATTTTGCTTCAAAGTACATCGCTTTTTTTATTTTTTATTTCAATTAATATAAATTATCAACATTAATAAAGCGTCATTGACGTCAAAAAAAGTACAGCGGTATTTTACGTTTCTAATTTGGTGACGTAGTCCTACCTTGCTACAGCGTTAACGTTGCTCATTGAGTTGAGCGGATGAAGCGAATAAAAAAGAATTAAAAGTTTTACGCGAAATAAACTCTTTTTTTTTTTTAAAAAATAAACTAAAACTATAAAGTAGTAAACAACACTGATGTTATCATTTAAATATTTCATTAAAAAAATTGCCTGTAGTTTAATTTGAAGCAAGGAATAACGCTCAACTAATCATACAATCTATTTAGTTTTCCCTCCATCCCACTGGAATTGTACGTAATGGAATGTTCTAATAGTGACTGTCACCTTCTCTGTGCTTCGAACTATCAGTATGTCAAATTTACTCGCTCTCGGTGGGATTGTTTAGGGGTCAGAACAAACAGATAGACTTAAATTCATTTATATATATATATA